CCAGCTGATCCAGCGAGAACCTAAGGCAAGAATGCCATCAGCAGGAGACTCGCGATTTCTAATGCCACTAGCAACAGGCCCATTACGCAGTCTTTGAATCCTATGAAAACAGAAGAGACATCAAGTGTTGTTATGCACAAAATTCAACATATGAATATGTGAAAACAAAAACACACCAGAGAACCATCTAAATAAAAATATAACTTACCTTCTCACCCATTGCCTGCAAGGGGTGGTCTACATATGGAGCCTCTTGATTCATCTGAGGATGGCTATCCTAAGAATTGCTGCTCCATGTGGTTAGAACCAATCCACTGGGTTGGGTGATATTGTCAAATTCATATTTACCAAGTTCAAAATATGAATTTCCCAGTTTGTAACACTTAGCTTACACACTGAACATTATGATTCTAACTCAGAAAGTTTCCAGATATATACAGAATAATAAGAAGTACTCCCTGGAGATGTGAAATACGTTGGAAAGCCAAACACCAAAGAGTTCTTCTTGCTGCTGTGTTTCTTATGTGCTTTGTGATTGGTAATTTCCTGGCGTCCCTATTGATTTCTTAAAGTTTCCCTCAAGACAAAATTGATTCCTGATGATTATGTAGGCATACATAACATATTCGTGTTGTTTTCTTGACAACAATGCAGAAGTGGTTTTCCACTGCTTTCTTCTGGGATGTTTTTTCAACTTCCAAATGTGGTTGGTCTTCAACCCTGGGGTTTCCTGGTGGTTTTTCATCCAAATATTAATCAAGTCCAACCCAACCCAACCTAGTTTTTTCAAGATGAGCCAAGATCAGTTTGATGCTCTGACTTCTTACTCTCGCCATTACATTGTTCCAGGTATATGAAGGAATAGCTACTGCTGCCAGCACCATCATCATGAGAGAAAATTTGGCTGAAAGGAAGTGGTATGATTTGGAGGCCATTGCTATGGAAATGGGGAGGAGCTTTAGGAGTAGGATGTCAGGATAGGACATGATATTTGGCCAATAACACTCTTAATGATGTGGTCAAGAATACAACAATTTTCAAATTTGAAATTGGACTTAGAGAAAGAAGAACCATTTTCTGATTTCCTACTTATTTTTAGATGTGAAGAACAACTTAATCTGCTGAATCCAAACTGAGTTAAAGTGAGTTTGGCCATCACTTAGCTGGTTCCTAGAGTATGCCAGTAATTAATAGCAAAGAGGTTGTCCACTGATAGAAAGGAGTGCAACTGCAATATTGCACTTCAGGACAATGTAAGGACTCATACACTTGGTAGAACAACCCAACCACCATTCTTACAAATAATGATTTCATCAGAGGAGCCTTGTTCTGCAATACACATACTAGAAAATATTAAAATGATTTACCATGTTTTGTGTTACTCACAGGAACTTATTCCAGTCCTCTAATGAAGTAGGCATGTTCCATGATAACGCATATAATATGACTGTATCCACATCCAAGCCCTGTGCCACTCCAAGACTGCTGCCTTGCCCTGTGACCCCACAGCACTTTAGGGCTTAAGAAGCTATGCTGATGCACTCCTGCTCCAGAGTTTGTGAGAACTCCTGCCTTGCTCTTGTAGGGGAAAATTTGAGGGGTCCAACTTGGACCCTAAGTCATATATACAGTATTTTTTAAAAATAAACAGTATTGCAAACTCAGCTAAAAAGCAATCAGTTGCTTGGATTTCTCAGCTGTATCAAAGATAACAAGGCACTAACAAGATAAGCAAGAGTGTTAAACAGGAATGCAAGCCTGGCCTTTTAGTGTTAGGAACTCAAGGTTTTTAGATACTGGCTAAGCTAAAATAACAACTTGAGGCTCTAAATTATAGGCCCCTTTATTCAATCCAAAGGATCCACTGTATAGGAAAGGTATGATCTCATTCTTGCCACTCTTCATTATACATTCCAATATACATATGTATTCACTCTATAATTACTGTTACCACAAAATGTGACACCAGCTACCAGCTTGGCTGGCTTCAAAAAAGGGTTGGATGGTCATGGAAGTCATGGGATTCAATGACTCTTAGCCTTGATGGTAATGTGACTACCTCTGAAGGCCATCCACTGGGAGACTAGTGGGCTTCCTTGTGCAGTTGTTGACTCCTGTAAGAACAGACTGCTCCATTAGATGGGCCTGGGGTCCGATCCAGCAGGGCACTGCTTATGTTCTTAAGCTCTTTTCAATCACACAGACTGCTGTGTCTTATCACATAACTAATGAGTATCTGGAATTGTCATGGAATCAATCAAATAAAAGTATGTTTTGCATAAGCCTCTAAAGAAGGCTTGTAACTCCATCCCTCTTTGGGCCTCTTCTTCTGCCTCCATTACCAAACCTGTCAATATACCAATCTGTGCTTCAGTGTAATTGTGTCCTGGTCTCTGGTTCAAATGCATCCCCAGGAAAAATTCTCCTTCACTCTGCTTCCTGGGATTTTTCCCATTCCTCCTGTAGCTATGTCATGGCGCCATGTCACTATCCCTCCCTACTCCCCAATTGCTCCAAGGAAAGGCTTCACCACTCTTCCCAGATAGCTTCATAGATTTGACATGGCATTTGGTGGCATTTTTTCCCTCACCATGAAAAGCAAATATAGTTCACTGCTTATGATACATTTTCTTTGTTCTGGGCCATCCTAGGCATAACTTAGGCCTTTGAATTCTTTATGCAATTTTGATAGAAATAAAACAAATGTTTGGGAAGTAGGAAGCCTCCAGCAGAATGCACCTAATTAAGAATAAATGTGATTAAGTTATTTGGGATGAAATTGAAGTGAGGGAATCCTCAAATGAGTATTTTATAGATTTGTGTGGGAATTATACTGATATGCTGAAGAATGGAATTGAAATGAAAGTTATAAATATTAGCATCCAAGAAAAATGGATGAATAGGAAATTATAATACTGTGAAACAAATTGAAAATCAGTAAGGCTGCAGATGTAGATACTGTAACTGAAGAAATTTTAAAATATGGATGTGAATTTGCTTGTTATTTGTTTAATATGCGTGCATCTGTGCCTGATGTTTGCAGAAGAATGCGGTTATTATAGCCCTTTAGAACAGGAAATGTAGTAAGATTGAATGCAAAAATCACTCTGTAAATGTGTTAAGTGTGCTCAGAATGTGTTTGGCAGGAAGTGTATAAGCAATGGCAGTGAGCAAAATCTGGGATATGCAGTGTGATTTTATGCCAAAAAATGAATGTGAAGATCAAATTTTTATTTTCATCAGGTCAATGAGAAAGGTATAAATCTAAAAAAGAAAGTTTTTTGCACATTTGATGATTTAGAGAAAGTGAGAAAGTACATTGGATTGATTGATTATGGAATGTTTAAAGCATGTATGATAATACAAAGAATGCTTAGTGAATGGTTCAGCTTTGGGCAGAGAGTAAGGCAAGGATATCCCTTTATTATTTAAGATATTTATGGACAAATGTATAAGAAATGGTTGTGGTGACATTAGAGTTGTGTTGCTTGAGGACTTAAAAGTACATTTATTTGTATGCACATGATGCTGTACAGATGGCCAAGAACCCAAAATAATTTGCAGCAAACGTATGATGCAATGAGGAGTACAGAGCTGAAAATGAGTGGGTCAAACACAAAGATGGTTGTGTTTAACACAAAAATCGAAATAAACAATTGCAAGTTATACATAAATGCTGAAAAGCTAGAGCAAGTACATGAAAGTGTATTCCTTGTTATAATATTTACTAAAGATGGGAGAATAGAAGAATTTAAAAGCATTAAAATGCCACTTGAAAGATAGTGGGAAATATGCAGTCTGTGTGAGAAAGTTATGGTTGGATGGAGCTGTTGAGATCTTCAAAAAGGGAGCACTATGAATCTGTGTCTGGACATAGTGGAACCAAGAATAGTTTGCAAAGGATAGAAACGTATGGAGAAGTATAGTGAATGGCAGTAGTATAAGCTAGCTTTATGTTTCCTTTTCTTTTTTTTATCTCATGCCTTAATTTCATACTCCTTTTGGCTCACTATTTTTAACTCCTTTTTTATGATCTGCATAATATTGCTTACCCCAAAAGGAAATAGTATGATGGGTATGTACATATGTGACTGGATACAAGCTACTTTTTGCAAAATGTTGCTTATTTCCTGTTTGTTCTTGTTTCCGAACAGCGGACTGTTCACACACTTCTTTGGCCATCCATATTTTATTGCTGAAAACTCATTGCATCTTCACCCAAATTTTGAAGGATCATCGGTCTTCCTCATTTTCATCTGACCCCAGTCTGTCATCTCTCCTCTGTTCCCTCTCCCAGCAATCAAACCAACAGGTACTCCTTCGTTCATGGTCGAACAATGCATGCAGAGCCTTTTTTGGTTTTTGTTACAGAAGTTGTGGAAGTCCAGAATTTTGCACAACACAAAAGTATGAAAATATGTGTGTGATATGGAAGCTGCACATGTTTGCCGTAATTAACTATGCATTGCATTTCTAAAAGTTTATTTGGACACAGCCTTTGAAACCATGTAACTGATTTTCAGTCCAGACATCAGCTGTCTTTTGTTCCCTACTCTTTACTGTCTTGTTGCCTGTACGTTGCAATACCTATAATCTCTGCACACTGATTTGGCACAAGCAACTGGGTTTCCTTGGTCATCATTTTTGTGTTATGCAACTTCTGTTCTACTCTGATTTCTAACAACATTTCTAGAGTCAGTTTCCTTTGCTTTTTCTCTCAACCAATTTTGTTTCTCTCTGCCTGAGAAATCTGCTTGCCTATGTACTTCCCACTGCTGAGTCCAAAGGCTGTTCCCGTATGTAGCATGGTCTCAGTTGCTAGCTGTTATAGCATGCCTTTGGGTGGCTGGCAGGGCAGTTTACTAGACTACAGAAATCCCTTTATCCTTTATGCAGAATGATGAACCTATGCATAGCAATTATGTTTCTAGTAATTATAGCTTATCTATAGCACTCTATAGCTCTCAGGGTTGTACTATAGCTTTAAGGGTTGTACTCACATGTTTTGCAACTTGAATTCAACATCCAGCTCTTCTTCTGACTATAAACAAGTAGGAAAAAGAATTATTCTCCATGCAAGACAATCTGTCCTTTTCCAAATAATATTTAGCTTATTGCCACATTTCCCTAATCTTCTCAACTCCCAAGTACATAAAGATGGGTAATATGGTGCCAAGAATTTGTATCTCTTCCCTTTTTTCCTTCATTATCACTAGATAAGCATTTTAAAAGTATATTTTTTCTATTTTGATATGTTCTCCAGCACCATTTGGATATTATAAGAGTTTTCCTAAAAGCCAAAATATAATATGTGTATGCTTTAATCTGTTGCATATGAATCATAATATGGTTTGTATGGGTTACAATGTGTCAATTTAACAAATTGTGGTTTACTCATTAAACCACAGTTAATTAACTTTTAAAAGGCTGCACAAGGGACAATTTGGCTAACATTTTCAACAAAATCTGCAGTTATATTTGTTCTTAAAACACAAACAATGAATAGAGATAAACATTTCTGAATTTCCATACAACAACATTGATGAAATGTTTAGTCCATTTGTTTATTATGATTCCTACATGCATGCTCAAGGAGTTGTTTATAGATTCACATAATTTGAATACAGCTATAGAAGGGATCTTAATAAAGTTCAGTTATACAGTAGTGAAAGCAAAGATGTATTTGTTTCATTGTATATTTCTTAGCATAATTTCACCACTTACTTCAGGATTTAATTTGAAGCTCACACGAGTAGTTTGTCCTGTACGCAGTTTTCCAACATCAAAGAGAACTGTGTAAAGATGATCGTCTTTGGTAAATGTATCTTCATCACAGAGCTTCAAGTGTAGAGTATTCTAATGATAATACATTTTCATTATTTATACAGTATTAATAAGCAATAAACTATTATATGTTGAAGCTTATAGAATGAGTTTTAGGAAACACAAGAAAGGGAGATGCAGATTAAAAGCTGCATTATTCCACTGGTTGAGGTACACAAGCAAAATATATAAAATAACTTTGAAGATAATATATTACTCGTCCTTAAAATAAATCTGTAGATGGACAACATGTGCCTTTCCAGACATTGGGTTGCAAATTCCATCTTCCTTTACCATAGCCCATGCTGACTAAATTGATGAGAACTGGAGTTCAACAATATCTGGCATCTCATCCCTAAGTACCTCTGGTCCTAGTTGTGGTCAGTAAAATTTTGTCTAGATTTCTGATACATTCTCTAAGTCTTGCATGGCAAAAACCTTTGTTCTGACACCTTGATACTAAAATCATTTAGTATTTGTGTTGAAAAAAAAAATCACAGTGCAACGATAAAAAACAAAAGGCAGTGATACTAGAATTTGATTAAACATAATCCTAATGTCAAACATGCTAATTTTTTAAAATTTAGCCTATTTTTTTTCTAATTCAGCAGGCAAATAGTCCTCAAACCTGCTACTTATAGTACATAGTTATATGTCTTTCATTGCTTCAAGAATTTCTTCTGCATATATTAATAGTCAATGTAAAAAACATGCACCAATGTTAATGTTCTCTTCATTAATTTAAATATTTTTTAATGTACAAGATAAGAATGTTGAAATCAGCCTAAATATCAAATCAGCTGTTAATATCTGTTACTTATTGTAATCTTTGATTATCACATGTGTAAGCTCTGGGCAGAAAACCATACTGATTCTATGTTCTTATAAAATATCTCAGTTCACTCAGCTGACATAACATGGATTATACAGTACATGCTAAGGTGGCAGCACATATTAGTGATTAACATATATTTTTGACACACATATCATAATGTCACCGATATTTTTTTACCCCCTCAAAAATATTTAAGATAATTTTGGTGACTCATCTGTCCACCCTAAAAATCAGTATACCTTAAAGACGGAGCTACCAAGTGGTCTACGCAAAAAACAACGTAGGACTGCAAGGACCTCAATCTGGCTATGAACTCACTAAGAATATTCACCTGTAATCTTTGCTGGCCTCTTTGAAGGGTAGATGATTATGATGATGATTTTTTATTATTATTATTTTATTATTATTATTTGCCAGGCATTTGGAAATGGTGCATTTATATTGCTTTATCCAGTTGTATTATTTGGATTTAACTTTATAAATCATCTTATGAATAATGCAACTGAAACAGAGCTAAAAATCTGAAGGGCAAGGTTTCCTTTAAGTCAAGCTCAACTCAAGGGATTTTATGAACAATGCAGAACTGATTCTCCTCTGCATTCTTTGGAGATGATTGTTTAGCTTCCCACTCTAGCATGCAGATCTAATATTCCCTGGAGGCCTCCTATTCAAATGCTAACCAGGCCTGCCCTGTCCTTCCAGGTGAAATCACCTGCTGTGACCTAGAAATGATAATAATGAACAAATAAGAACTGCAGTGATTTAGCTGAGCATTTCAGAAATGTTACCCACTTAGTAATCAGCCATCCAGCTTATCTGCATATAAATAAATCTGCACTCCATACCAGTCCCTTTCTGTCAGATGTCTCATGCCTACTTCAAGTGTATATCCAATTATTAGTTATGTTTATTTCTTTTTTTTTAAATAATGTTATTAAAAGTTTTAAAAACAAAGGTAAAAACTAATACAAACTAATATGGAGTAGGGAAGAAAAAAGAAAAAAAACAAAGAGAAAGCTAAAAAAGGAAGGAAGGAAGGAAGGAAGGAAGGAAGGAAGGAAGGAAGGAAGGAAGGAAGGAAGGAAGATACAAAGAAATGGCTTCCGATCTTCTTTATAGCAGTTATAAGTACAGTTATATATTTACCACTTTCTCTAAAGTTACTCTCTTCTTTCTATAATCTAACCTATAATAATCAAAAGCATAAATTATAAATTCATTTTTTTTCTGTTTTATGAAAAAATCCATAAGGGGTTTCCAGTCAGCAATAAGCAAACATATTGTCTTTTCTCTAATCAAACAAGTCAATTTGGCCATCTCAGCAAGTTCCATCATCTTCACAACCATTCCTCCATTGTAGGTATTGCCAAATCTTTCCATTTTTGTGCATACAATAATCTCGCTGTGGTTATCATATAAAAAAAACAAAGTTCCATGACTTTTTTCCAACTGTTTGTCCATTAGTCCCAAGAGGAAGACTTCTGGTCTCGACTATATATGAATCTTTAAAATCCTCTGAATCAGTGTATGTATTTGAATACAAAATTTTCTAGCTTTTTTACACATCCACCAAGCATGATAAAATGACCTTTCTTGTTGTTTACATTTCCTTTATACATTCTAGACAATTTCTCTGGTGCCATGTAACCATGGTACATCATTTTATCAAAGTTCTCTTTAAGATTATAACATAATGTAAATTTCAATCCTTTCAATCACATTTTCCCATTGTTCGATCTGTTTATTATAACCAAAAATTTTAGCCTACTTTATCATACATTCTTTCATTTGTTCTTCTTCTGTTTCAAATTTACATAATGTAAATTTCAATCCTTTCAATCACATTTTCCCATTGTTCGATCTGTTTATTATAACCAAAAATTTTAGCCTACTTTATCATACATTCTTTCATTTGTTCTTCTTCTGTTTCAAATTTCAATAAAAGTTTATAAATTTTAGCGATTATGTGTTCATTATTTGTACACAGTTCTATTTCAAAATCAGTCTTACAAAGTTCAATATCTTAAACTCTTTTGTCTACTTTAAATCTTTCTGATAGCTGTAGATAAGAAAACCATTGGCAACTATATCCCTCTGCCACATTAGTTGGGTTTATTCCCAAAGATCCCCAAACACATTAAATATCAGGAGGAGTCTGGTAGCACCTTTTCTGGCTAACAAATATTATTTGTTAAATGATTTTACTAATTAAAATTATTAACAACTAGTAATAATTTATTTGTGTTTATTCAAAGAGATCCTCAAACATATTACACATCAGAAGCTCACAAAAGCTTATGCCTTTTAATAAAATTTCTTAGTCAGAAAAGGTGTTATCAGACTTCTCATTTTCACTGCCACCACAGACTTACATGGATTTTCTCCTACAAACATACCACATAGTATCTCACCCTGTGTTCCATCACAATAATTGGTAAGCATCTCGTGTTCAGTCATTATATAATTCATGTTGAGATTTGGAAGAGGGATTTCAATAAGGATTTTTTGTTCCTAAAGACTTTTGTACTTCTGCAAATCTTGGGGAGTCTACCAAACCCATTGACATTTTCCCACTGTTCATGAATGTTTCCATCTTTATTAGGTAAGTTTCACACTAGAAAAATTGGTCCATTACTGAGATAGATGGTAGGTAGGTAGGTAGGTAGGTAGGTAGGTAGGTAGGTAGGTAGATAGATAGATAGATAGATAGATAGATAGATAGATAGATAGATAGATAGATAGATAATCTTGTTTTTAATATATCAGTTAAACCTGACTGGATTTTTCATATTTATGGCAAAAAGAAGAATACATAATCTTACTTTTATACGGTTGTCGATCCTATAGGTGAAAGCTTGATTCCACTCTGGATTTTTTGAATTGGGAATAGTTTCAGTCCGAACTACTTCACTTGAAGCAGTTGGTAATGAAAGAGTCACATAGCAATCAGATTCAGTAACTGTAGAGTAAGAAGAAAAATTGTGACCAGCAATCCTTTAACACTGAAACAATTGGAACATGGGATCGTATTATATGTATAAGAGCCAGTCATAAACTGTGCAGAAGGCATGGTGGAAGAAAAAAAGTTGCTTCCCTGAGTCCAAGTTTTCTACAGATTTAGATGATGTGAGAACAGAATGTCTGTAGGGTGGCAGAAGACTCATTAACTCTTATTGATTCAGATGCAGCAGATCTAGTGTCCATATCACGCTCATTACAACAAAGGAGAATGGTGAGACCAAAACTTCTGGCTGCTTAAAGAATAAGATCAAACCAGCCCATCAGGCATGACCACTAGCAGCCCCAGCACTAATTTAGTTTGCAGTACCACACCCGGAGGTCTGGTTATTCTGGCTCAGCAAATTTCAGTCTCCTTGTCTGCATCAGCAGCTAAATTAAAACAAATGAGTGGTGCACTTCTCAACAAAGAATAGCATATGTTTTAGAGAAGTTACTGAAGCCACGATGAAGTAATTCAGAATAGCCAAGACTCCCTGTACACTGTCACAAAATGTCTCTTTGCATACGCATCATGGTAGATCATTAGAATTAATTTCTAATTCAAACTCTATTGGCTATATTCTATTTATATAGGCTGTCTTTTGAACCAGCTTTTTTACCCTGTAAAATGTTTTCCTCTCCACATCTCCCTCCCCACACAGGTAATCTTAGCAAATAGTCTAAGCCCAACCAAGACTTTCTACCAATGATGCAAGAATAACAATCAACATCATTTGCCGTACTTAAGAACAGTGGGATAACTGGGGATGTGCAATACATCTTTCCAAACTGTTTCAAGCTCGAAAGTTTGCAGTGTCCTGCATGAGTAAGAAACTGCAATCCTGCATGTGAAACAGGGCTGTTTCAAGCACTCTGAGGTGTCTCAAGCTTGAGAGACCATGCTTCCAGATCAGATTTCCCATTTCAAACTGCAGTTTTGAGCTCAAAATATGACATTTGCAAAGTTTTGAGCTTGATACAATTCAAAATGAAACATTTACATCTTTAGAATAACTTAGGGAGCTCATAGCAGCATATATGACACCCACCTTTCTGCCCTCCAACTCCTCCCCTTCCCCAATACCTGCTAATTGAGGTAGTTGGACAGTTCTCTCCCTCTGTCCAATGCTATGACCATAAGCATGCTAATGTATAACCCATGAAAACATGCTTTCACACATAAAAAAAGGACCACAGAAGGGAGAAGATGAAATCCTAGTTTAGGCATCATTATATATACAGATCAATAATGACTGCTCAAACACCAAACTGATAATCTAGTTCACCAGTGCAAAATATACCTCATTCCTATTGTTTGATTTGCTTCTATTTTCATTGTGTGATTCCCTTCCACACATCCACTCATTTTTTATGTAAAAACCATCTTAGGAACTGTTATTGAAGGACAGTATAGAAATTATGATAATAATTCCATAATGGATATAATAAATCATTAATTTCTCAGTGCCCAGCAATGGATTAAATTACACAATTGTTCAATAATACCCATTTGTGATATTTTAGGAAGGCAGTGGTTTTCAGGATATATCTTCTTACTGTTTGGGACCTTCCAGAAGGTCCATTTTAAGGGAAAGTCATGATGTGATAGAATTTTGTCCTTCCCCTGGAATTTTGATTTTGTGAACTGATCTCCTTTCTCATAAAAAGTCAATATATTTGCGCCATTGCTTTTGTCTCTTACCTATTATTCCTGCTTTCCCAATACATAAATGGCCTTTTCTCATGAAACAACTAACCTAGAGATCTTTTCCTTCAGTCAATTCATCCACTTTCACATGCTGGCAACACAAACTGAGGGATGTTTGGTTAGCTATATTTTAGTCCTCACTGTTATCACTTCCTCCCCCCACTTTTGTTTTTGAAAGTTCCTCCCTTTTGGGAAAACAAAAAACAAAAAAACCGTCACATTAGCATTGCTGGAACCAGCACCATAATGGGCAGGATCTGGGAAGTTACCGAGCACTTTTTCTCCCTTTTCACCTTCCTCTGGGCATATGGGGGAATGAAAACAAAATGGCCACAAATAGAGAATTCCTAGAGAGACCCCCATATTTGCATAACAGGCTTCTCTTCCCTATCTTCTTGAAGCATGTGGTAGAAACAGGGCCATAGATTTCCTCATAAGTATATTGTTTTTCCATCATTTGTAAGCCTCTTAGGAGTCTGACATCTTTACACGAGCAAAACTGCCCAAAGCTGGCCTTCTGCATATTCAGGTGATTGACAATGCAGCTACTGAAGTAGCAGCAGCAGCAGCAGCAGCAGCAGCAGCCCTTTGTATCGCATCCCATACCAGGAATATCTGGGCCAGAAATCAAAATGTCTCACTTTGTCACCTCACCTCTGTCGAACTTCATAAAATCAACCATGTTTAGCAGTTATGTATATGAATTGTGACTATAAGCAGCTAGCTAATCTTTTCTATCCTGGTACTATTAGGACGATAGGCGTTGTTGTCTAATAATCTGAAGATGGAGAAAGCTGCACTAAGTAGCATTCATCCTACACAAAACATGCTGCTTTACATGTTTGTGACTTAGAAAGGGAAGGCCAATATCTTTGTATCCACAAGCAGGGCATGAAAATAGCATCTCTTGCAGCATTTGTATCTCCTAAGAACTGTATTTAGACACATTCTATCTTTAATTTTTGGAGCCATTGGTAGACTTATTGTCCATGAATCAACAAAACCTGGCTACCAATCCTGAAAAATACAGCCTGCAAAAGGTCAACGAAGTCAGCTCAACCACCAGGACA